GTTCGGCACCACTGCAACTATTTACTGAAGAGGACGTTGTATGTTCCTCTGTCTTACGAAAGTGTAACATAGCAAATTTAAATTTAGCATTGTTATTTTTAGTATTTGAGTGAATTTATTAATAATTAAACTTAAAGATAATAACTATAAAAGTAATACAATTTTTGTAATATGTTGAAAATATTTTTTTTGTTATTACTTATTTGTATGGGATCAACGAAGATTTATAAATTTCAATATTTTGTAGGGATCATATAAAATTTTGGAAATTTTTTTTACTGAAAACAACACTTACATAAATAACTAAGCCAATATTTTATCAAAAATAATTATATAGTAAATAAAAAAAATAGMAATGAAAAAGAAAATTTTGATTACTAATATTATGAAAAATAATAAAAACTACACACTTTAAAAAAATATATGTATGCCATGATATTTGCATAACACTAGCACATTAACGTCTCAAGGAGAGAAATTCAGCTTGTGTGAACAGACATTAAATCCTGATCTCCATATCTTGGATTCATACTTCAAATGTGTAGGCTAAAACATAATCCCAGCCACACAGAGATATCCACGTTCCATCTCAATAATAAGCAAGAAAGCTAATTACGTTTTATTTTTTGACACTTGTTACACCGCATTAGACAACAGTACAGAACACATGTCGCATATATTGGTATATTATCTAAACTAAATTAAAAATATTTTTGGATGTATTATACATACATTTATGATAAGTTATGTGTTTGCTGACGGTAAGAAAAAAGGTAAAAAATGTCTGGTGAAAAAAGTCAGTTTTATAAAGACAATAGCTAATTATTATGTAACAATATAATAGCCAATTAACACAAAAGATATATTTAAAGAAATAATAAATAATACAATTATATTATAAATAAAAATATGTCACTGAATTGTAGTCAATAATATTATTATTGAAAAATAATATATTTCATACATATATCATTAACTCGAATAACTTGTCAGGAATATTTTTACAAAATAAAAAAAAAACATCATGTATTTATAAAAAA